GTCACTAAAAAAATATCACTACTACTACCCCCAAAAAATAAGCAAAATTTGAAAACTCTGTTTTCCCTCCCCCCCCCTTAAACCCGTAGCTACCTACCTTTAAGGTAGAGATGGACAGCCACAGTACTAACGCCAACATCCACAGCAATCTGCAACAGAAGCAAGAGCAACAGCAACAGCAACAACAGCAACAGCAACGTCGTAACAGACTAACCAAGAAACCTCCCACGTCCATCCACAATCATCACCATCACAGTCACAGCTATTCTCTCACCGCTGATGGTCGTTTTGACGCCCAATCCCTCAAGAGCAAACGGAGCTCCACGAGCCTGAGGCGAGCTCCAAGTGCTCCCCACAGAACTCCCGCTACTACAATTGTTAGCGTTGTTAATAACGTTGTTAACGTTGGCATTAACAACGCGTCAAACTCCGCAGCATCGCCCCGTCTCCCACCACCTCCCACTACTACCGTTACCGCTACCGCTACCGCCGCCACCACCACCATTACCGTAAATAACAATACCAACAATAACACCACTTATTTCTCTTCACCCTTACCGTCTCCTGCCAAATTTTTTCCCTCGGCCATTTCCTCATCTCACCATTTAGTCCCGTCCTTACAGTCGCAGTCGCCTTCTCGTAACGCATTTCCTCTCGCCGCCGACGGAGCCGCAATTGGGTCTGGAACCGGCATTGGCACAGGCACAGGCACAGGAACAGGCACAAGCACAAGCACAGGCACAGGCGTAGGAATAGGCATCGGTATTGGGTATCCGACGTCGAGTCGACGTCTGTCTGACCCCTATTTTCTCCAACCTCTTTCTTCCCAGACCCCCGAGGAATTTATCGGCGCGCCCTTTGACGGCAATTCTATCCTTAGTCATTTCGATACTGCCAAGTCGCCCACGTATCAATCTTCTCCCCAAACCCGACCGCCACCGCCCCCGCTATCGAATTCGACTCCCGACCCGCGTGTAATGAGCCCTCCTCCCTTGCGACAGTCGGCTAGCTTCTCCGCCTTAGACGCCAACATGTCAGAGAAGTCCCATGGCGCACGTATTAATGAGAACCCCGTTGTCCCCCCGAAACGATATTCCGATGAATCCAAAGATCTCAAGGGTCCCGGTGTCTTGAGAAAAAAGTCGGGCTTTTCCGGCCTCATGAGCACATTGGTGGGGTCACCTAAGAAACCCGTTATATCGGCGCCAGAGAACCCCGTTCACGTCACCCATGTCGGCTATGATAGTTCCACCGGCCAATTCACGGTGAGTCTCGCTACAACCTCATCATCGCCTCGAACCCGGCTTCACGACGTTGCTGACTTCTTTTTATAGGGCCTACCCAAAGAATGGCAACGATTAATCAACGAGAGTGGTATTCCAGAGAATGCTCGAAGGGAAAATCCACAGATGATCGCGGATATCGTCACATTCTATAAGGAAACCACAGAGAAGCCGCACGAAGATCAGGTTCTAGAGAAGTTCCACGATGTGAGAGCTACTGAGCTGCGCACCCAATCTGGTGGAATGGCAACATCCCCCGGCATGTATGCGTCAAACTATGCGGGTATGTCACCTATGATCAGTCCACCAGCAAGTCCGAGATTTCCAATCGTGAATAATGAAGGCACCTTCGAGAATCCCCGCGCCCCCCCTCCGGTACCCATACCTGGGAAGAGCCCGGTGCTGCACTCCATCAAGGATCACCCCAACTTGCAGCCCAGCCGACCCGCGCCGAAACCCCCCGTCTCTTTGCAGACCCGAGCTACACAACAACTGCCCTATGCTACTACCAAAGACTCGGGCATCGGTATAGCACAGGCCAGCGAAGATGGTCACTCGACAGGGTCTCATGTTTCGCCGCCGAAGGACAGCGTCCCCATGCTCCCCGAAGAGCACCGATCGAGATCGAACTCGCGAGTCAACGGGTCTCAACCCCACACACCCGTCGGCCAGCCATCGGCAGCCGTTCAGGCGGCTTATCAGCACCAACTGATGCAGCAACAGCAAGAACAGGCCATGGCACAGGCCCAGGCTGCTATGAAAGGTCAGCTTAGTAGATCCGCGAGTACTAAGCAGTCTCCCGCGCAGCCAATGGTCCCGAGCCCACAGCACCAAATGGGTCGCGTTCCCGAGACGAACGGTGTCGGCAATGCGGCCTATGCAGCACGAGGGCCTCCGGCGCAGCAGTCGCGCCCACGCAACCGGCCGCGGCAAAGTACCAGCATAGACGTAGCAGCAGCGCTGAAACGTATCTGCTCCGAAGGCGACCCTCGCGAGTTATACCGTGGCTTTACTAAGATTGGTCAAGGTGCGTCTGGCGGCGTCTATACCGGCCACGAGAGGGGATCGAATCGACTAGTAGCCATTAAGCAGATGAATTTAGAGCAGCAGCCGAAGAAGGACTTGATCATCAATGAAATCTTGGTTATGAAAGAAAGCTCACACCCGAATATCGTTAACTTCATAGATAGCTACCTATGCGGTGGTGAGCTTTGGGTTATCATGGAGTATATGGAAGGAGGTAGCTTGACTGATGTTGTCACTTTTAATATAATGACGGAAGGGCAGATCGCTTCAGTCTGTAGGGAAACATTGAAAGGCCTCCAGCATTTGCACTCGAAAGGAGTTATACATAGAGACATCAAGTCTGATAATATTTTGTTGTCGTTGGATGGTAATATTAAGCTCAGTAAGTCAAACACTCCTCATACTCAAGTCGATTGACTAAAACCTAATTTTCCCCCCTTTCGTAGCCGATTTCGGATTTTGCGCACAGATCAACGAGGCGCATAATAAGCGCACTACGATGGTTGGTACGCCGTACTGGATGGCACCGGAAGTGGTCACTAGAAAGGAGTACGGAAGGAAAGTCGACATCTGGTCTCTAGGTATCATGGCTATTGAGATGATAGAAGGGGAGCCGCCGTATCTTACCGAGTCGCCGCTCCGTGCTCTGTGGTTAATCGCCACTAATGGCACACCGCAAATCAAAGAAGAGCATAATTTATCGCCAGTATTCCGGGATTTCTTATATTTCGCCCTAAAGGTGGACCCGGAGAAGAGAGCGAGCGCACACGACTTGCTTCGGGTATGTCCTACAATCTTCAACGTAGGGTTCCAGAAAGCTAATATAATATAGCACGAATTTATGAAGACTTGTGTCGACTTGTCATCTTTATCGCCACTCGTCAGGGCCGCTAGGGAAGCCCGGCTAGAAGAGAAGGCCAATAAAGGTCAATAAATGTCTACCGGCGATGTTGCAACGTTTTGAGGATGTTGGAATAATTCGAGGTCGGTTGCCCTCGAGGTTTGAATAAGTGTTACTATCCTACAATTTAAGGATACATCGAGCTAGCGACGACCAAAACATCTTGCTACATCTCTACCTAGGTGACTATGCTACGGCTTGGGCTTGTGGGGAGATTTCGAAAGATTAAAAATAAATAAAAACAACAACTAACGAAAGGGACCGAAATCCTATGGAGGGGCTGATTCTATACTTGTACATAGCGAGACGATACCACCCTTGGGACGGCCTTCATTGGATACTAGAGCAGAACTAGACGAAACGGACGTCCTCGAAGCAGATGATTTGAAATACCCCAATACCTCTTAGTTCAAGACCCTCGTCAACCTAAGAGTTCGCGACTCGCACCGGGCAGGTCGGATGATGGGACTTAGCTCCGAAGTGAAGCTGAGGTTTAGATATTTGAGTCTAACGACATAATTAAATGGATATTGGAGGGTTAAATTTTATGAATCAGGATCTGCTGCGGATGTTCATGTCTCGTATCAGGAAATAAACCAGTTAGTTAAAGTCCGGCTTATTGCCATTGTCATTTGTCTCTAACCCCGCGTATCAGGGGTTCAAAGAGAGATAGTCGCTAGAGGTATGCAGAGTAGACAAGTACCTCTTCAGGAACTCAACATGACAAGAGTTAATGCCTTTGTTTCGAGTTTATCGAGGTAGATGAAGTTTGAGTTTCACGGGATAACTCAAGCCTGGTCTCTCCAAACCGAGAGCTATATATGAGCCAACTTGTCCAGACAAAAGATAAGTCCCATTAGAAGGAGGACGTTTATGGATAGTGAGTAACCGGTCTATATGTGCAGTCTAAATATGTCTGTTTGAGTGTGGTATAGTTTCGTTAGATGAAAAAACAGTATTCAAACGACACAAACGTAAAAGTTCAAGATATAGGTCACAAAACGGAAGCAAACTCTGCTTCTATTCTATTTCATCTGTACCGCTTAAATCGGGTGCTAAAGAGATCAGTCAGTTCTGTTGTGCACCGTCCCATATGCCACAACCCCTCTGTTTAGTCGGTCCGGGGAGTCCACCCGAGGGTAGTCTATCTCTAAGAGCTATTCTGATGGTTTTTTCGTCAGAAGAAAAAAGGTAAAACTTCTTTTTCCCCTCTATGATGGTATTTGGTATCAGTCCCCTTTTCCCGCTTTTTCTCCATAGCATGTATAATAAAACTGACTCCGATTTCCCCATGACTATTATGTGAAAAGTCAAGTCTATGCCGCGCATCATTCCGTAAAACAATAAACCGTAAAAGAAAAGACCACCAGCATGCTAGGAACCATACTCATAGGTAAGATCCCCCAAGAACCCGGCCGAAGCCCTTCTGACATGTACATAGGAAGGGTTTCCTGCTGGGTACACAGGTGCAAGCGGATGGTGTGCGATGCGACCATTAGGACCGAACGAGCAAGTTGGTTGGCGAAAACGTGACTTGGCAAAATCTGTCCAACATGCGTGCCTGAATACGGTTGTTCAAGATGCATGGGAGGACTCATAATGCCGCGACGCAACGTAACCCCCGCACCGAACGAAACAAAATTTGTCTACCCAACTCCAAACTTCCGACCCATTAGGGCATGACGAGCGGGCTCCGGCTAAACAGGACCAGAGCCGCAATGCCCGTGTATACGCCACGCCGTATAACTTGTCTCAACATACCAGGTCAACACTTTTTAGTTAATGCTGGCTTATAGGACAGTGTAACCACCGTCGATAGCGACGTTGGCGCCCGTCATGAAGCTACTGGCATCGCTGGCAAGGAAGACGCAAAGGCCGTTAAGCTCGTCAACGTTACCGAGGCGGGCCTGGGGTGTCAGAGAGCGCCAGATCTTCTTCTGGGCCTCCAGGGCGGGTACGCGGTTCAGCGCAGTGTCCATGTAACCGGGAGAGATGCAGTTAACACGGATGTTGTACTTGGCCCATTCGGCAGCCAGAGACTTGCCGAATTGGATAACACCGGCCTTGGATGCGTTGTAGCAAGACTGCTCCTGCGGGTAGTTGACGATGCTACCGCTCATACTAGCCACAAGAACAATAGACCCAGGCTTGCCAGCAGCCATCATCGCGCGTCCGACCGATTGGCTCATCAAGAACGAACCAGTTAGGTTGATGTCGATCAAGCGTCGGAACATGGCCGGGTCGTAGGTCTCAGCCTTGATGTTGGAATCAGCGATACCGGCACTGTTGATCAAGACGTCAGGGGCGCCATAGGTCTCGACAACGGCGTCGACGGCAGCATTGATGGCGGCACCGTCACGAACATCGACCTTGAAGAAGGAAACGGGAAGTTGGGTCTTCTGGTGTAGCTCGGCAGCAGCTTCGTCACCCAGCTCTTGGTTCGCATCGAAGATGACAAGAGCCTTAGCGCCAGCCTCAGCACAAGCGCGGGCCATATGGTTTCCGAGACCTCGAGCACCTCTGTAGCAATGCCTCGTCAGCAAAATCTGTGTCAAAATAGCTTCACGTAGCAAACTCGGCTTACCCAGTGATAATAACAACCTTGTCCATTATGCTCATCTTCTGTAGGGTGGGGGGCATTTGGCGGTAGACAGCCTTGGACAACGGGATAACCTCGGTGTCCTCGGGGGGAGGGAATGGCTTCGGTGTGGCATCGTCGCGGTTCACGGGGATACTGAAGTGGTCGCTGGTCGAACCGGCGGCACCTGTCGAGTCTGGGGAGTAGACGGAAACTGGAACTTCGGTCTCGCGTACTACATCACTCCGCGATCGAACGGTAGACTGGCTGAAAGCTCGGTGAGCTGCGGGGAGAGATCTAGAGATATGGGCAGATGCACGGGCGGTGCTAAAGAGGGGGGCTGCAGCCCTGGTGAGACGGAGTGCTGAGCGACCAGACATCGTTACAACTATGCGTGTTTGTGTATGGTGTGTGGTGTATGGTGTACGTGTGTGTGTAGGTGCGTAAGTATATAAGATGGGATTATATCCAAGTTCAAGGTATGCTAGGAATTCTTGGAATAGGGATGTGGCGAGATGTGGGAAGTCTTTTAAGGTTGCTAGAAACTCTGAAGACAAGTGACAAAGCAGCAATTGACTTTTTCCCTCTCGTAAGTTGGAGGGGGGCCTTGGGCAAACCGGTCAATTTATGGGAACCCCAGGGGGATTTTTCAATGGCAGCAAAATCCGAAATCGGGGGAAGCTCAGCGAAAGAAAAAAAAAAAAAGGATCAAAGTCCCAGTAAATTCGTAAATTCTCAAGGAAAAGTCCCAAGTTCCAGGGTTTTGTGACTTGTGCGTAAGATTCAAGGTCACAAGACGAGGTCTGTTAAATTGGAAGCTGGATAGGTTTCGTGAACTAATACCGTAGTCGTGGTCACGAGCTGAAGCAAATATTTGTTTTTATGTTCCGTGCTCGAACTGGAGCTCCTACGTATTCGTCTGACCGTCGGTCTAAGCCAGGGGGCTGGATTTATGTAGGTAGTAAGGTAGTAAAGTAGTAAAGTAGTAATAGTACCTAGTAGCAAGGTCTAGGTATGAGTGGGGAGAAAATAGAGGAGATATCGATAAATGTCTCGTAGTTGTCTCGAGAACTCAACAAGGGGGCACGGTAGAAAGGACTAAGACCGTAGTAGTATAGATCAAGAAGAGCTTCTACATACACAATAAAGATCAATGAGAAAAGAAGAAAAACAGATAGCAAACCGGAGGCAATAAATTGGAAGAAGGGTGCCCTATTTCTACTTACTCGTATCGCATATTCTTCCCTCCCCTCGTGAAAATGTGGACTTACTCTTCCTAACAGTCGTTAAGATTTACGCATCTCTTTCCCCTTTCCATAATACATAGCAGGTTGAACGAAAGGGTCTGGGTCAGCAGCTAGACGATAGACCGCCTCGCCCGTTCGCTCTAGACCCCATTGATCTGAGTATCTAGCTTCGCTAACTCCGAGCGACGTAACGTGATGGGTTTGTACCTACAAAAACCAAAGTACATGAGCTAACTACTACCTTTGTATACTTCGTACATATACATAAAAAGAGGGGGTAAAAAGTATTAATAGTACTTGTCAAGGAATGTATATACATACATATTACGCCATCCATCTCGGATGTACATGTATATGTATATATGCACGTATTACATATATTTAACCGGATCAAATATAGCGGAGGAGGGCAAGGAAAAAAAAAAATAGATTTGTGTGGCGGATAGCTAATAGTCAGATAGGTAGGTAGGTAGTATGCGGGAACAGATAGACTAGAACTGAAAATCTTTCTTAGTTGTCATCGATCAAGGGTAGCTTTTTGTTGGCGTGTGGTATTGGCCTGTCTCTGCCTGTACATATGCCTGTTATGCCTGTATGCCTGTAGTATTGCAGTAGCTCTGGACCCTAGCGGACCTAGCAAACTGCCAAGCAGCCCCAAGACGCACCAAGCAAATGCCCAGTCTCCGCCAAGACTTCCCATAAAACCGACCCGACGGGGCCTTAAGTAGAAATAATGGGGGCTATGGGGCACTATGGGGTCCGGCATGCAGCCCGGGTGGGACTCAAGTCTCCATCTAAGTGCTCCATCTACGCAGTAGCGCAACCTATTTTCTATTTAGCTCCTTTTCGTACAGTCTTCCACCCTTCTAAAGAAATTCTAAACTAACCTTGATTAATATCGTCAGATATCAATACCCGACACATATACAGTAACACGAATAATGGAGAAGCCGTACAGAGATTTTACACCCGTACCATGGGTAAGTTACCTTTCCGGTAGTATTATGAAACCGCCAGCAACGTCTCTGAGGGAACTCGGCGTGGGGGGTACTGCGGCTATCTCGTAGTAATGCTTACAGCTTAAGATAGCTTGAGATACACATGCTTCCTATTTCCGTTAAAGCCTACATATAATTACTGTCTCGATTCATACTTGGATATATAGCTACATGTGTCAGTTAGCTAGGCTAGCTTTTCATACCATGTATTGACTGCTTTCCTAGTCTGGGAGTTTTAAACGCTGATAGCTAAACTGAACTTGGAAGGCTGAAGCAGGATTTTCTGCCAGGCAAGCGGGTACGTGATTAAACCACGCAACTCACCAACGAGGTGTGTTCTAATGTGATTGAAAATTTGCTGTGTTCGCGGGTATACCTACCTAATAAGTGACGTGGCCTGGAGGCACCTTCGTTTGAAAAGCACTCGGGGATTTCAATAAGTGTTGGTGTGAAGAAGGTACTTTGGCATATTTGTAGGTCTAGAAGCATACATAAATACGAAGTTCTTAATAGAGTCCCAATAACAAATAACATCCCAAGTATTTAATAAACTAGAGTATTATAGAAAAGAGCCACACCGTCGGAAAGTTCACGATGCTAAAATGTACTTAAAGTTGAAGGACCGTACTTTCTGGGGTATCAAAACCCACGCGGAGATTATGCGCCAAATACGTAGGTACACAATCAGATTCGTGGGGTTAAGGTCACCCGCACCCGTCAGCCTCTAATGGTTTAAAGGGGGGCTTACAAGAACAACAAGAGAAAAAAAGACATCGTGAGAAACATCTAAATTGGCTTCTCGGGTTCTCGGTGGTCGTATTGAGATGAGACTAATTTCTCCTTAAAAAAATACATGTCCAGGTGACCAAATCCCCCACACATCCCAGGTCTTAACTATCGACTAAGGCGCATTATTAAAAACAGCGCTTGGTACCTAAATGTTGAAAAACATTACATTGAGTCCATTACTCTGTTAAGACCACGAAACATGGTGACTATGGAATATTAATCCCTAATTCATAATTTCCTCATGAGAAAACCCTCCGTCATACTGCATGATATTGTCTTAACAGCACCTTATAAATCAGTCCATAAGTGCGTATATATACCAACGCATAGCGTATTTCGCACATGCGTGTTAGGCATGCATACTTACATCTATGTAACTACTATATCTTAAGATGCCTACAGTATTAAACGATATCATATTTGTATAGTCGGTGAGCTTCCTGACTGTATTCTTACAAACAGAAAAACAAAGCAAAAACTTCCGATTTGCGGCTCTGTCCGTCACAACTGAACCATGCAGCCTCGCGGCCCCCCTTAGATTAGATCTACTACACGACGCACAGGCAAGACGCACGAACATTTATTTCGCCCATCTCGGGATGTGTTCATTACGTACATATACATATCACGTTCGGTATGGCGCGCCCTACATACATATAGTGCAATCGTACCAGACATGTAGCTTGTCGTGCCGCTGATAACCCATAAATGATCAGCATTGAAAAATCAGCAAGGTCTACCCGAATAGAAAAGGATTTGCTCACTCTGCATCTTCTACCAAGGTACCTACAATACGTAGACGAGTAAGATATCATTTTACCGCCTTAGGATGTCCACGCTAACTGACGCTGGGTGCCATGAATTGTGGCTACGTACCGAACAATTTTAATTTGGAACGCTCCGTCGTGTCACCTATGTAGTACGCCATAACGCATATGTAGTATCTATGTACAAGTATACAAGGTCTGTTTCACCGTGGCATATCGTGGGTCCTCGCTACGGTTAGGGTCCTGGGACGACGCTGGGCTGGCAAAGAAAAGACTAGCAAAAGCTTCGCCCGGGGGCCAATCTTGTGGGGGAAGCTAGTCCATAATATCAAGCTATGGAATATGTACCACTATATATCTAACAGGTACATGTATGTATTTGACTACATAGGGACCTAGCCAAGGATATTTACGTACATATGAATTTGAATCGTTTGTAGGCGGTGTATGTATCGTGGTAATGTAGTGTACGTGCGTGGGTAGTCGACCGAAGGAGGTGCTGCTGAACCGTCTATACTACGTGGTATGGCAATATTGCCTATACACAGCACACATACATAGGCGAACTGTACCGGTGTTGACCTCGCAGACGCGATCGCCCACGGATCACACGGAGAACCGAACTTCCTATTACATGCCCCGTCCGAGCTCGCAGGATTTGCCTGTGATCCCCCATCTGACAATAGCTCTTCTATTGACATACGAGCGGACGTTACATACTAATCTAGCGGACTGGACCTAGGCCATTGTTAGTTGGGTGTTTAATAGCATGGAAAAGTGAAGGACATTGCGAGCAGATAATGGCGGAAACGTGGGCAATCCAACACGCTTGACAGGGCGAGAGAGGACTTCATGGCCTTCCTTTTCTCTCCCCACCTACCACAACCTCTTCCTTTACAGTACTCACTGATACAGTACAAATTGCGCCGCAAGCCTACTGATTTCTCGGATCCAGGGGTATCTCTGCTAACCAGGCTGGTCTGCTGCCTTTCGGTCTTTGGAATTTAATATCGTTGAGGTATTATTCTTTAATGTTGCTATATCCTTAGTATGTAGCTAGACCAAGCTGAAATATATTTCAATGCCAGGAGGATCCTAGTTGACGAAATGATAGATCCAAGGTTTATATTCCCAGGTGGACAACTAGGTAGTATAGTGTTATGTAGATTAGAAACACCGCGTTAGCTCGTTCACCATCGTCTCCCGCCGCCCGTCCGCCCCGTGCTAAATCCCTCGCAAGCGGACTGTCCTTGCATAAGCGAACCTCAGCAGCACGCCGCCCGGTCCCGCCGCGTCCCATCATCAGGGCAAGATCAGCGCATATCAAGAGCACCGTCCCGCTCCCGCTCCAAATAACCGCAAGCTGTCATATAAAAGCCCCCGAATTGGCTCCGCCTCGGACCCCATACTGACGCAATGTGCCCACCGGAGAGTCGCCGGTATCAACTGATGCAGTGCATACTCGTAAGTGCATACTGGGCCGGTAAGCTTGCTATCCTAGTATACCTAGTATAGTGTAAGCGACCTGGTGGCAGCGTGTCCGCGCCTAAAAATTCTGTCCGCTGTCACCTAGCGTAGCGACCGTAACTATCGGTTTGAAGTCGATTCATACGGATTCCGTTATATCCCTAGTCGCGCTATAGAGTAGGTACCTTACCACAAGATCCCTACTCAAGTTTTTAGCTGATCTACTTATCCCGAGGTACTAATTTTAGTACACGAGTCAAGCCAAAATGCGGTAAGCATGGTGTTCCATATTATACGTACAGACCGGTGAACAACTTCCGCGTGGCGTATATACCTATCTTGCATTTATCTATGTTCCATCCTGAATAAGAGACGATGGCCGATTCCCTATCTTTTCCACTTCAGTAATGACCCAGGTTATACAGGCCTCAACAAGGCAGACAACTATGGGAAGTTTACTTTAGCCCCTTCTTCTCAACACTTCGACTTCAACCCGAAGCCCGAGATTGAAACTTGGGACTCTCAAGACTTCAGTACCCTCCTACCAAAGATGTGAGACATGGTGAAGTGAGTCATTTCCTCGGCGCCATGCACCTTGCCTAAGCCACTCGATGCGTCTCTTTGCCAGGTTTCATATTCATGACTCTAGCAGCAAGATAAGCAGATTTAGCCACTTGATTTGTGATTTGTCCATGCCAAGTATCCGGGATACGTTAAGTTGGCTATGCGCGTAGGAAGGTTAGATGCATCGACATCTTATGTGACCTCCCGCAAAATAATCTGCAGATACCCCTAGATCTGTAGATCCGATACTTGCAAACTTCACCACGTGTTGTCATTTGACATGTCACTAAATTCCTCTTTGCCAATGAGACAGGCTCTCCCACAAGGATCCTTTCTTTTCTTATGCACCTAGATTGGAGAATATGGTATGAATTCTACCAATATCTTGTTACGTCCGTTCGTGATGAACCCCGTGTTACGTGACCCTTCCACAATATCGAAGTAGAATGGACTTGTCACCCTATAGCATGGGAGCATAAGCATCTGACGGGTATCAAAGAGCCTTTTCTCCCAACTAGGGACTTGGCTATCTAACTCCTGTTTTGGGGACTAACTGCGATATCCCGTTTTTCTAATCCGATTGGACACAGGTTTGCCGCCATGAGCCAAGCGTTGCTCTTATTCGACAGTGAACGGCGGCTGAAAAAGTCAAATCGAGTTTAGTGCTAAGAGTTTGCACCAATGCAGGAACCAATTCGAGCTGCGAACTCTTCCTGTCTATGGGATTACCCTATAGCTATTGGAAGAACTTGGAATGCTACCTCCTGCTTGGATATTCGTTATATTAATTGTGCCCTCGTCACGCCTAGAGTGCGATGCTGATTCGCCGTTGTTGATTTCTTAGAGGTTTGCGATTTTAGCTTATTTTAGGAGTAGAATATGGTACGCTCTAACTAACGGCGGAAGTCCTTTCGGAAGGGTCTCAACAGGGACGGAATGAATAATACCTAAGGTAAATTATATAGCAAGCATTTTAATGTCGGTCACGACTGTAAGGTAGCTTTTCTTTCTGCACTTTCCACGTGAGATAATCTTGATGATCTATCTGAGCTGTGTAGCTTTCACTCTTTCTCTTCTACTGCTTCACGTATATGTCCTCTCGTTTAATATATATACCTATAGGCTTATGTGGTTCCATCAATCACTATGACCGCGATACGCATTTCCCTCCTTATCCTTTCATCTTTCCTTTGTCTTATTTCATTTGTTCGGCTTCTCCTACCTTAGATAATGATAAGGTCGTGGCACAGGACTCAATACCTATTCTTAACCTCCCATATGTGTCGTATAGAGCAGCTAGATACGACAATGTGAATGATAGGTAAGTCGAAACTAGTCTATACTACTTGAAGTGAACGAGGGGAAAAGGTAGAAAATCCTAATGGTGCAAGTCACGGATATATGTTCAAGAATATACGATATGCGGCGCCGCCAGTTGGTGATCTGCGCTGGACCAATCCGGCATCCAAGACGGGAGCATCGGCCACTCGTGTGTACAAGCGGCTCCAAACGGACTTAACCTACTCGGTACTGGCAACCAGTCCCCAATCGGCGGGGTGATCAACCAGTTGTAAGTGCTTCCCGTAGTAGGTATATACTGAAGAGTGCCGGAGGATAAATGTCCTAATGTTACGAAAGTCTTGGGGGCATCCCACTTCCCGTATTCTCAGGTGGCAGCGAAGACTGCCTGTTTTTAGACGTTTGGTACGTATATCCTATATGTGATATTTCGCTAATGGGATGCTAGTATACCCTATAGTATGTTTGAATAGAAACATCAAAACTGATGCTCCTAGTTAAGATACTTACTAGTAATAGATGTTCCTGGAAAGGCCTTGAAAGCATCATCTGAGAAATTACCTGTTGTGGTATTTGTATATGGTGGTGCGTATGTCTTTAGCAGTAAAAACTCAATGCAACCGGAGCTGCTGTTCTACGATGGGACTGGTCTGATATCACAATCCGGCAACAATATAATCTTTGTAGCAATGAATTATCGGGTAGGAGCTTTTGGCTTCCTCGCTGGAACTACTATGGAGAACGAAGGTACCCCAAATGCTGGGCTCTGGGATCAGGTTAGTGTATATATGGAAACCCCGGAGCGCCGTTGATTCTAACACGCCGCCGTGGGGTAGAGAGCAGCTTTTTAATGGGTTAGGTATTACATTTCCTTGGTAGGCAGAGACCCGGCACGAGTGACAGCTATGAGGCAATCCGCTGGAGGCGGAAGTATCATACATCACGTTATTGGATAGGGTGGGAAGCTTGACCCTTTATTCTCCAAGGCTATATTGCTTTCCCCGGCTTTCGAATACATGTGGAATCGCGCTGGTGCGGTTCAAAAGACATTTGAGGCATTTGCAAGAATGACTGGCTGTGCTAGTCAAGGGGTTTCGTGCTTGAGGCGCGCTGACGCATCTACTCTTGCTAATGCGAATACGTAGTTGATGAAGCAGCAGTATTCAGGCACCTTCGCAGTCGGCCCAACGCCTGATGGATCATACATACGACAGCTTCCCGTACTGGAGTTAAGCACTGACAATTTCTGGAACATAGAGTCACTCATCTTGTCGCGTACTACTGCCGAGTCGAACGTATTTGTTAAAGGCCTTGGACAGACGGACAGCGGGTTTACATCGTTTGTCGACGCCATATTTCCAAACTACACTCAGGCTGCCAGAATCACGGATAAAATTGGTTCTTTCTACGCGGTCTCTGGACAATCAAAATATAAGTCGCAGACGGACCGAGTACAGGCTCTCCTCCGCGATAGCAGCTTTATATGTAATATCCGGCACCTTACCGACAGCTTTGGCGACTCCAAGGTCTGGAACATGCGGTACGGGGTTTCGCCTGGGTGGCACGGAACGGACCTTTTCCCCCATCTTCAGTGCTAAGCTCGGAGGAAAAAGCTGGCTCGAGAACCTGGCGGCGTTGATAACACCGGGTATCGGATCGCTCATTTCCGGCATCAGCGTTGCGTTGCAAAGCTATTTTACGAACTATATTCTCACTGGTGATCCTAACACCAATCGCAAGATCTTTAACCTGCCGCCGGCGATACGATGGAACCATCCAGATAGTCAGGCGGAGCAGATCTCAGGCGTGGTTAGCCTCGGTGGTTGGGGGTTTAGCACGATACGATATACCCAAGACGAGAAGACGGCGTGTGATTTTTGGAGGGATATAGCCGCAGCCGTGATTAGCTTAGGTGGATATTCACCGCCTGGTGCAGTGGTACAGCAAAGTATGGTCGACGTGAGAGATCCGAGTATGAAGGACAATGGTGGAAATCGATAGTAAATTTGGAATCGAAATTCTTGAATAAGGGAAGAAGTTACTTAAATTGTGGTGTTTGATGTACTTGGATAAAATACGTACAGGCATAAATCATTAGAAATTACTTGCATAGTAACCCCTACCCATAGTTACTTGTGCTATATTTAGCTGTGGGGTACCTAACTTATGTACCTAGAGGTAATCCGTACCTGACCTAAGCTCCTCCTATTACAGTTTGCTCGGACATTTTGTCAATTGTGCGCATCTCACGGGAATACAGATTTCATCTTCTCTAATTGATGTTTATTGGATACAGAATAAAAAGAGCTCCGGACCACCACAACGCGCTTCGGAATATATAATCAGTCGTAACAGAAACGACATTTACCTGATTTGTCACAAGTAGTTTCGGTGTCTCGCCGGACTTCTTAGGCTTGGCTCACTTGTTTCGGGGGGTTAGCTGCACCACATTCCATCGTATCCCCAGGATTGACTGGCATCATCGTCTGTAGCGATCGAAGCTTCTTTATATAGGTACCTAACTACCTGTCATTTCCAGAAGTCTGGAAACAATCCGTCAAACTATCCACCAAACTTCGTCGACTTCATACTTTCTTCTCTACCCGAAAATAAATTGACATATTATAGTGACCCGCTCCCGCGACCAGGTTTATCGTTAACGAGATTCCTAATCGCCTCGTTTCTTAGGTCCTGCTCTAAAATATAAAAGACCCTGGCTAATTCCTATGTTGAATGTAACGGTTCGGGTTTCAAATCTAACAACCCTGACAAGGGGTTATGATCCACCGTCGTCTTGGGCCCTTCAGCCTTGCACTTTCACCCAATTACTTGTCTTGCCTTTCGTGAGCTGGTGGAACCAATCGAAGAACCTCGAACATAACCCTGCAAGGTCCATGTTTGAGGATCACAGATACTGCAGTCTGCAGATACTAGTCTACTATTGCGGACGGCCAGGATCGTAGATATTGGTGCTGAAGATGATGGGTCGAGAATAACCCTCGTTCACCCTCGCCTACTGCCGCGTGCTAGCCATGCCTTTTACTTTCTGACTCCAGTCCTGTTCACGTTCTGTTTCTTACTCTCATTTTCGTGTCTTCGCGCCGACTATCACCAGTGTTGACCCTTATGACGTTGTAGTATACTCGTCCGCGTCAACTATCAGTGCCAATATGCATAATTCTCTTCGTGATTAATATTTTATAATATCTTTTTTTGAAATACCCATTGAGTGGGTTATTCGTACATTCTTTTTAAGCGAATACAGCTACACGCCACCGAAGTCATGGCGACACCAGGAACAACAGAGGCTTTATTGGCCGCCTTCTTTTTCGGTATATTATTTAACGCGGCGTCTGCGGGTTTGGTTTTGTATGCTGTAGGTCATGGTTCAGCAATATTTCGGGACGGCCTGAGGCTGGTCCTCATACTGTTCCTGACTTCTTCTGCCGCGTGGGCTTTGGTCGAGTTCCTGGCGACCATCATCGAGCCGACTGCTGCGTCTATGTGCCAGGTCGCCGTAGTCTTCTCGTCTATTTTCGATCAGATGGCAAGGGTTTTCGTCGAACAGTACTTAGTATGGGCAGCGCGGCCGGAGAAGAAATCAATACCGAATATAGTGTCGCAAGTTCTTATTCTTATCCGGTTCGGCGTCGGCATGGCATTTATCGGATTAGCACGGAGCGATTTCAACCCTACCTGTGTGCCTATTTCCAGCGTTCCGCCCATTGCCATTACCATCATCGTATTGGATGCTATTATCCTTGCTCTCGTCGCTGTTCAAGTCTTATCGAGTGCCTCGACGAGCGGTGTTTCTAGCGATAGACAGGCTCCCCTCGGGAAAAGAAGTGTTACTTTGGTCACAGTTGGACTGGCAATATGGATAGGGGTAGGTTCTGATATATTACTATATCTATTCAAATACTAATTGCCTATAGACGAGCGTGGTCCTTCTCCTCGGTGAGAGGGCAACAGATTTGGTACTTAGGACGACGCTACCTGCCGTTGGCCTAGCAGTTTTAGTTGGTACGTGTTATATTGTTTTTTTCCCTCGTCGTATTGTTAACAGTTTCAAGCATTAGTTACTGTGTTCTCAGGATCACTTGTTACTCCTCGAGGCCCACCCCCTCGACGGCCAGATTCCCCGACTACTCGGGATGCTGGTAGAGATAGGAATTTATCGTCTTCGGATTCCGCAGATTATCCCCCATCCCGATATGAGGATGTTAAAGCCGCAGATACGACCGCTATGGCAGCCTACGTCTCCCGAAGTGGTGCTCTTGGAATGGGTGGGTTTGGCAACTCAAAGAAAAATACTAAGGGGAAGGCATGGAATAAGGCCACAGCGGGTAAACTCGTAATCTCGAAACCGGTTCTTATTTCACAGGAAGGCATGGAAAACCCTCTTGACAGGATACCGACAGTCGATCTTGCTACAGCTGCCAGAGAAGAAAAAGAGAGGCGTGTCAAGCTACTGCAACGCGAGCCAACTCTCATTGCGCAGCGGCCCGCCCCTCGGCCGCCTACTGCTCCGGGACGAGACGAGTCGCTTGCTAGGGAGCTAAGTCTGAAACGTAAAAAGGTTGGGTCGTCGTCTTTAGCACAGCTAGAGAGAACCATCTCGACTAAGACGTCGGCGGGGCTATCTGTCGAAGCAAATGCATCTTCTACATCTTCAGAATTATCCCCTGGGACTGAACAGGTAAGGCGGAGATCCCCGAGGTACCCCCCGGCACCACCAATACCAGCAACGTTCCAGCCGATTCTACCTGGTGAGCCGGTTCGTATACCCATTCCAAGACCTCGAGACCCATCTCCATCGCCAAAGGAACCAGAGCCAGTAAAAACACCGCTCCAGCGACGGGCCACAACGGGACTTCCGTCGAATCCCAGGGCCCAAGCAATGAAACAAATCGCCAAGGATGCTGGGAATAGCCGACATGAAACTGTAATGTTCGTCAACAACATTGTCTATGACGATCCAAATTTCGTCAGCAATATTGTCCAAGGGGCTTCAAAAACACCAATAACTTCCCTAGACTCTGGTGATTCGGTTGTCCATCGTCCGCGCCCGATTCCTAGAAAGGGAGACAATGACCGTCAAGTTTTTCCTGCCGAAATCTCACCATCTCAGGGCCATAAACGGTCGAAATCAAGTGGCTCAATTATCGCTAGAAGGTCTATGCTACGGTCTGTGCCCGGTAGCCCTTCCCAGCTGCCGCCCTTACCGGCGCCACCCAAAAGCGCCGGTAATTTATCTCGCCTTCGGCCTATTCACACGAAGAGTATGTCACTCGATGAGAAAATGGATTTGCTATTTCCTACACCGCTTAGCGCTCCTTCAGCGCCAACCAGAAATAAGCAGAAGTCTATAGTGCCTGATATGCCTCCTTTACCGGCGGCGTACGCGGTGAGCACACAAAGACCCGATGTCGAGGGTGCTCCCGACTGCGAAGTTGATAATGCTAGGCCGCTATCCAAGACAACTGACAGAAGTTCGACTCGAACCACTAGTATTCTCGGGATCGACGACATTCCACAGCAGGGTGTACAGAAGGTTGGCAGCTCTCATAATGCAGTTGAAGAGCGGGGTCAGTCCTGGCTGCCGGGAATATCAGCCGGAGAAGAAAGACGACCACGTCCGTCTCATGATAAGATGAATCAAAGATCGTCGCCTGTAATTCCAGCGGAGGGTCAATCTAACGGGTTATCCTCGAAGGATGGGAACGAGGGGCGAGAGGGATATGCCAGTACTATTTGGGGCTCGGTACACTCTCCTATCGCTGCTGTTAATATCCAGCAATCGCGGCAAAATGCTCATTCGACGTATGTTCGGAAAGATACGCATAGCCACGGAAAACAGGAGGAACGTGACCATCCTGCCAACGTCGTTAGTGAAGGTAGGGCTAGGGACTTCGTCGAAAACAACAAAGCTCTACCAAAGGTACCAACCATCGAGAAAGTTAATACGAGTAGCTTTCATCGTCGGGTCGGCGACGAGTGCCCAGCTTTCTCTACTCGAAAGGGCAAGGGACGTTTAAGAAAGATGCCCCCGCCCGCGCCTCTGCTTCTCAACGGGAGAAGTAACAAAAGAACAATTCTAGTACAGCCTGCGGAGCCCTCACCACTAGAGTCACCTGGAGCTGCGTATCAGATGATTCAGGCTCAGCTTCAACGTTTCGAGCAACCGAATCCGGATTCTGTGGATAGTGAAGGACAACGCCTGGCATTGCTAGAGAACCTGGAGCGCGAGATGGGTCAACTTCAAAACAAATGGCAGTCCACACAGAACCTTCTTCAGCGGGATTCCATGTCGAGTATTAAGACTTCCCCGGCGAAGGATTCACGTTCTCCTTCGATGATCGCTGAACGAAGAGTATCACGAAAAACACCCATGCGAATTGGAACTACGCGATCTAACGACGAAAGAAGCATGGGTACACCCTCATCTCAGAGCTCCGGAACAAGTTCCGAAAACACTCGCTCTAGCCAGGGGCAAGCCCGCCTCGCCAGTTCTCAGAGAGAAGAAATAGAAGGCACACCCAACTTGATTATGAAACACAACAACCTCAACTTTTTGTCCGTTTCTAAGGCTGCGCTAGGTAGCCCAAGCCCACCTGATACCGAAGAATCTGAATCTGGGGGCGAACTCCCTATGAACATACAACCACTGGGTCCAAGGTTATCTGTGGCAGTTGCCCAAACTCATGAACTCTGGAAACCGCAGCCGCCCGCTCAGCCCCTGGTTAGCACAGGTCTCTGGGCTGGGATGGCCAGGCAGCCTCAGACGCTGATTGGAAATATTGAGATTCCGAGCTTGCCACTACGATCGGTAAGCAGAAAGACTTCGGCCCCGTTGGTTATAGAAAGCTCTCGACTATGGGAAAAGACTACCCAGAGCAATAAAATGGCAGTTTACAATGGCCTGTGGAAGAAGCATACACCGTCGCAGAATCTAGAATCCAACCGTACTGTTACTCGTCCGGTCACTGTTCGCCCGCCAC